TGGTTATCTTCCACCTCTCTACTCATCTGTTTGCCTTTTAGTGGAAAGCCCAGGGAAAGAATGTTGGTTCCCCCATGGTTTTAAAACCACAATAAATTTAATTTCACTTGAATTATCCAGTCTTCATAAATACCTAAATGAAATAAGACTCCCAACCCCTACAACACATTCTTCTTTGGCTGTGACAAAGGAAATAATGTACACAATAAAAGAGTGTCTGAAAAATCTATAAATGTGCATTGACCTGGTTTCATGGGGATCAAAGCCAACAAATTAGGGAACAGAAACCCTGTGGCTGGCTGTGAAGCCCAGCATGGCTCTATCTATGCTTTTTAGGTTCTAATCATCTTACACTTGATACATGTATGCTTCATCATTTTGATTAACTGAGGTTCTATTAAATACAAATAATCCAAAAGTACACCAAGAGCCAATCATGAAGCAATATCAATAGCCAAAATCTATTGTGATCCTACTATGTACCAGTCCCTTTAATCTTAAAGTCTGGCAAAGCAGGTCGTCAGTGCCTCCATTCTCATACAGGACGACAGAGCATGCCTGACATTGATAGTTCAGTCCAGGGCAGAGCTATACCTGTGTGGGTACTGTGCCAAGTCATTTTTAGCTTCCTTTTGACATGTGTCTTTCTGGGTGGACTTTTGAAGTGCAAAATAATTTTGTGATGGATTTTGGTTCTAGTAAGATTTTTGTAGAGCTGGAAACTTAGAATTCATTTTGTTTTTAATATCCATTCTCATTCATTTAGATAAATGTTTCTTGATATATCAACAAGTTATGAGTGATCTGTTCATTGATTGAACATAGGGCACCCCCATATTGATGTTCTAGGCTTTGGAATAGAAAGAGTGCACAGTAGAGGCTTCAGATGCTCAGAATGTGTTTTTACTTGGTCAAAATCTCAAAATTTTTATCCTTCATCTAATCTCTCATGTTTATTTATAATGTAGCTTCTCAGTACTCCCATCTGCATGGTCATTACTCTAAGTGAAGATGTAAAATAAAAATTTTATTTCATGATTCATAATTCTTATTAACCTGGCATATTTTATATGGCACTCTCACCTGTAACTCAACTTGTTTTACAAACATGAGGAAAATCATCTTCTCCATGCGTATATTTCTATATAAGCTGGCATAGACCCATGGCTGCTTTTATTCTGAACTAGCCCCACACCTTCTGTTCATCTGTGGCTCTGGTGATGCTAAGTTGTAAAGGCTCTCTGAGATCTGCTTTTGTGAGCCCATGTTTGCCATAGACAAGGAGGCAAGCCTGATTTATGACTTGTTCAGTTCGTTCAGGAGTGACAGATACTAGTTTGTAGTGAATTGCCTTTTAACAAGACACAGAACTAAATAATGGGAGGAAAACAATATGCATCTTATTATCCTGCCTGACGAGATCCAAACACCTCCTTCCTCCAGATTTATATCTATAAATACAAGAGATGTTTGACTGCTTAACCATTATTCCTGCTTTTTCACTGTCCTTGGAAGAGGAATGGGATGCTGGCTGAATTTCAAGAGGCTGTGCCTTCCAAGAAATGGAACTTCCTGATTTAATAGCAGGTCACACTGTCAGGGGCCTGTGGTCAACCCAAAGAATCCCTGAGGGGCAGCTGAATGTGCTTCCAAATGTAGTTCAGCTCCCCAGCTGACCTGACCTGTGTTGTGATGAATTAGAGAATAGCGTACACTATACACTGAGCACAACTTCTCTGTGTTCTAAACAAGAAGCAAGACAAAATGAATTTGAGCATTTCTATCTGACATGCACAATGGTCACCTTATAAAATTGGCTTGAAGACTTGGAGAGAGGGAGGCTTGCTATGGAAAGAGCCACACCACCTTCCATTCCTTAGTATTTCCTTTATCTGAGACATCTGCATGGGAGACATTTCAGTGGAGTGGACAATGAACATGAACAGCCCCTAAGAGTCACTTGCTGACAGGGCAATAGAGACACCATGCGAAAACCTGCTCTGGTCCTGATCAAACATTTCCCAGCCATATTCTTATTTAATAAGCCCTTGAATTGTTGACCTCTTCTTCCTACCTTTTCTTTTTGTTTCATCCCTAATATCCCTGGTAGCTGGTCATTTATCTTCCCTGTAATTCATTGTAAAACGTTCCTCAGTCTGTGCCTATGTGAAGCACGTAGCACTCTCCATGGGTGTGATGACCCTCTATCCGACATCATGCATGTCCAGAAGTCCAATCCTACCCTTAAACATAGGAAGCATGGCAGATTGTTTCTTTCAGACTAGTATTTTTCCAGTGCAGCATGATGGTACATGAATAGGCTCTGGGCTCACACCCTCTGGATTCAGACATCCCTACTCCCTCCCAGCCCAGTAGCTAGTGGTGTGAACTTGGGTGAACTGTTAAACCTTTGGGCTTCAGTGTGCTCAGTTATGCACTGGGAAGAACACAGCACTGCCTCTGACTCTTGTGGGTTTGGTGAGCACATGAATGTAAAAGACCAAGCTCAGCATGGCTCAGCAGAATCCACAAACACTTTTTATCACACACAGACCAGCTGGAAGAAACCACGACCAGTCATCTCTCCTTCATGGTGGTTTTCCTGCTTATGACTTCTTAGATAATGAAGTATTCATCACTCCCATTTCGTGCTGCTTGTCTCCATGTTACCAGCAGAAGTGGGTACTGGTGAGGGTTTTGATAGATCTGGGTGCACTCTGCTTCATGCACCAGTGCTGGTGACAGCTCCAGGTCACACAGACCCTGCCCCCAAGGTCGTTTTTATGTTCCCCATTTTAGATGGTTTGTTGTTATTGTTGATGATGACGATGACTTTTTCGTTTTAATAAAGTGCTGGAACTATAATCTGGCTTTGCATCCCTAGGTTTAGGACCTATTCTGAAATGATTCAGCCTCCCCTTTCATAATTATACATTCAAGTGATTATTTTCCTTAGACATGAAATATAGGTTTGGTTTTGGGGTCTGCTTTTGTGAGTAATTATCTTGGAGACTCATAGGGAATCTGGATTCAAAACTCTCCAATACTTTCCTTATATTAAAAAAAAATTTTCAGATATGCCACCTGTTGTATTTGTGAGTATCTCTCCAGGATCCTAAATTATACAGTAATAATAATGAATATAATATTCTTCTCATATGTTTTAATGCAGTTCTGGGTTTTGTTTTTGTTTTTGGAACTTGGAGTTGAACTCAGGGATGTTTTATCACTAAGCCACATCCCCCAATCCTTTTTATTTATTTATTTTTCTTGAATTTTGAGACACCTAAATAGCTGAGCCTGAACTTGAACTTCTGATCTTCTTGCCTCAGCCTCCTAAGGCACTGGAATTACAGGCATGTACCAACTGCCTAGTGTGTCTTTTTAAAAAACAAAACAACAACAACAAAAAACTACCTATTTCAGGATAACGTAATAGTGATTTAAGAATATTTTTGACAGCTTATAAATTAAATTAATTCTCTTCAAAAATCTCTGTATATGATTTAATGTACTTAGGAACAGTGTAACAACCTGAAGGGAACTGCACAGCCATGGGAATCATTTAGAATGCTTTACATTTTTAAAATGTGCAGTCATATGAAAACATTTTGTGGATGACATTGAAGATATATACATAGCTAGCTAGCTAGCCAGATAGATAGATGGATAGACTGTTTGGAAATTGGCAACAGTCTTGTTGAATAAAATAGAAGAGGATTCAGTCAGTGTCAACTCCATGCCAATGTCTGAAGTCCCTGTCTGTGTTTCAGGTTTGCCTTAAATGGTAATGTCTTGTCTTGCAGCCAGACATATTTCCAGTTGTCCTGCCAATAGCCTGTTTATTGGCACAGTACAGTTGTATCTGGTAAGGTGCAAGGTCAATGGAATTGCTCCTACAAACTATCCCTGAAAATGTGTCCTTGTGGATATAGCTGTTGTCTGTATATTTCATTAATTTTGAACACCAAAGGTTATTGCCATAATTACACTAATTGTACTATAAAATTCGGACACTTGCTGAATGAATGAGAGAAACGCATGAGAATCAAACCTGATTATGACAGTTTTTAAAGATACATATTGGGACATATCAGTGTCTATAGGGTATCCATCATCTCTTTTTGCCTCTTCCTTCTCAAACAGGAAGTTAGAAAGAGAATACTTTCAATGTAATATGTGAGATTCGGTTGGTAATCTGTATTTCGTAATTCCTAATAAGCTTGGTGATTAAGTAAAAGCTTTGTTGTAATTTTGTCAATTCTCAATCCCCTTATTTAAGCCATTTATGAGACTGGAGAGCTTCCAGACAATGGCTTCCTCTCAACACCTTTGTCTCCTCCCAGTGGTTCCACCAGTGACCAGGAATAGGAAAACAAGGCTTCAGCCTCATAGTGACACTGTCACCATAGTAACAGGAATTGCTGAAGCTAATTCAGGGCACTAACCTTACAGTTTGAGTTTTTGTTTCACTTTTCACCAATGGAAAATATTGTAAGGTCTTACTAAAAGCAGATAAAATATGTTGAAGTCATACACATGGATATTAAAGTCAGAGCATTTTTTGTGCTGCAAAAACAATTAAAGATTCCTATATTCTGAATCAAATTTCACCTTTGTAATCTTATTTGCTCTCTGTTTCCAAAGTTGATGTAAGACTTTTCAAGCAAAGAAATAGACATTGCTTTAATTTGTTCTGCAAATCTCCCCTGGCCTTTTGATGGCATTGATGTCATGCTAGCTTGGGCACTGGTCCAGCTCAGGGTGCTGCAGTGTGGAAGCACAGTATTGATGGCCCGTCATTGGAACCTGGGCATGACCCTGAGTGTGCCAGCAGCACAGACCATTAAGCTGCTCGCAGGGCTTCCCATTTGTCCTGTAAGGTCCAGGTGTTGTCTAAGCAGAAGCATGTCTCCTTGGGAGAAATACTGAGCAGGCCAAGGTAAAATCAAGAATGACACATGGATGTTGAGATTTTTCTTCTTTCCTATCGCTCACAGAACCAAACTTCGTGTCCTCCTATGACATTGGAAACTTCACCTACTTCTTCTTCCGAGAAAATGCCGTGGAGCATGACTGTGGGAAGACCGTGTTCTCCAGAGCTGCCCGGGTCTGCAAGAACGACATCGGAGGGCGCTTCCTGCTGGAGGACACCTGGACCACCTTCATGAAGGCTCGCCTGAACTGCTCCCGGCCCGGGGAGGTGCCCTTCTACTACAACGAGCTGCAGAGCACGTTCTTCCTACCTGAGCTGGATCTCATCTATGGCATCTTCACCACCAACGTGTATGTAGCTGGAAAGAGCATCTTTTTCTTCTCTTTTCCTCATTCTGAATGAGTCTTTTGTTCCTTGATCTCTGAGGGTTTAAAGTTGCCTCAAAGGTAGTCTTTCTTATTTTACTGGGCTAATAGCCAAAAAAAAAAAATTATATATATATATATATATAAAGAGACTTCACTATGAATTAAGTGTTAAGCAGAGATCTGTACTGTGTGAAACTGGCATTAGGAAAATATACATAAATCTAAAAAGTTGTGATCTGTCTTTGGGTAACAGAAATATCAAATTATTCTATGATAAATTGTTCTTTTCTGATTTGTGAGTATGTCCTGGGCACTTTGGGGAATACAGGTACATATTAGATTCTTTTTCCATCTACACAAGTCATGCATTTGTGCATAATGAAAGCCATATTGTTGGGGAAATCTGATCTTTAAGATAACATAATTCTTGCCTGAACCCTGACTTATGTATGAAACTCACATTCTTACTTCCCCATAATTGCACTTAAACCATTGCTATAGAAGATGGCTAATTTGGGCAACTATTTCTTAAATGAAAATTATACTTTAAAAAATGTTCCTGAAAACATAGCACTCACTTTTCTGTTGGGAATATCCCTACCATCAGAACAGACAGTATTTGGACGGCTGGGCAAAGCATTTGAAGTTTCCCAAGCACTCATTCCCTTTCATTCTGGTAGAGTGGTGCCCAGTTCCTTAGTGCTCTGTTGCTCTGGGTGGTGTGATAAGACCTAAAAAGAGCGCATGGGACTCGAAGCGACACTCCCTCAACATTGGCAGAGCTGTGCTTGCCCGGCATCTGGATCACCTTTGCAGTCTCTCATCTGGAGACCTAACAACTTTGAGAAAAGTCAAGTATTTGTTTCCAGAGCAAAGAATCCAAATCTGAAAGGGTAAAAATTGCTGAGAGATGAGGTGGGTGGCCCTTAGCCCCAGCTTGCCCGTGCTTAGCCTGGTTTGGGTGTTGATGACTACCTTGCATCCTGGGGAACATTAGTCCTGGGCAAACCAGGCAGTGGATTACTGCATGAAGCTTGATCAGCTCCCTGCATATTTTTAGTTTATTTTTTTTTTTATCTCTGGCATCAGAAGTGTGCCCATGAATTATATTTCTAGAGTCATTTACTTTATCTGTCCCTTTATTCCTCATTAGCCTTTTCCTCCTGCCCTTTCTCCTGGTAAGTGTTTAGATTCACTGGATTGAAATTTTACTCCACATTCTCCTTTCTTAGATGTTAGAAAAGCAGGTGGCACGGATGACCCCACCCCGGCCCCCTCCACCATTGGCTGTTCTTATTGTTGCAAATCTGCTTTCCAAGCCCAGATGTTATTTTTTACTCCTGGAGAAGTTTCTTAAAAAAAAAAAAATCAATTTATGGTTTCTGAAGTTGATTTGCTTTCCCAAACCTTGTTTAAAGAGTAGTATAGGCTGCACAAGATAAATGTTCTGTTGCTCAGTTGACATCATCAATTTTACACACAATGGGGGCTTGGCTTACTTAGCTGTTGATTCCCCTGGCTCTGAGCAAAAAAAAAAAAAAAAAAAAATGACCACAACAAAAACACCAATTTCAAAAGTTACAAAAGTCCTCTGCCTGAACTTTTCCAAGGTAGTGAATAGTCCATTCAGAGAGGCACAGAAATGTTTCAGATTACTGTAGGTGAGGTTCTCTGTGCTTTATTGCAGCCATGACAGAAGTCACTCAACATGTGCCTACCTCCTCTTTCTCTCTGGAATCTATTCCCACTGATTCTTTCTGATACGTCCATCTCTAATCCCACGATGTATCCCACCTGTCCTTCCTTTTTGGCTCAGCCTTGATTTGACCCTTCCAACAGATGAGTGCTTTTGTGAGAAGTCTGGCTTAACTGAAAGAAAATGAGGTTCAGGTAGCTGGCAATTTCCCATCTCCGAAATACAGGCTAGATCGGTAGCTTGAAGTTGCAGTTTGCCTCCATACTTTTCAGGGTTTCTCACCTGGGAGAATGGGGACAGCAGGGAAGGACCTATTCTGGCTCATTTCTGTCTCTAGGACTGTGAGATTTTCCTAAACTACTTGGTTAAGAGTTGAGCTGCAGGAACCAGTTTGCTACTGCAATAGAATTTTTAAAGGTGTTACCTCTTATTCTGGATATCTATAAATGAAGGCCCAGCATTCTACCTGTATGTAGCGTAGAGAATAGGACAGAGCGTAGTTTAGTGCACATCGGTATCTAGACAGTAAAGCTGGTGCTGCTAGGAAAAAAGTTTTATTTTTTTCCCTTCTAAGAAGAATAAGAACTAGAAGGATTATTTTTTTTTTACTTCACTTTTCTACCAGTAACTTTCGGTAATCGTGAAATAGAAGAAAACTTCAAGTTCCCCCATTTATGGGCTCACTTAAGTGAGTCTTCTGCCATTTTAATCCATTTGGGGCACAAACAAGAAATAAACAGCATTAAATGAGGACAAATGATTACCTCGATTACTGAGAGAAGCCAGGTTGGAGCAAACAGCTGCAGGAATCTTAACCAGATGGACTTACTGATACGGAGCCCAGCTTTAAGCAGATACATTCACAAGGTCACTGGAGTCTACCCCCGGGCTGGCCTCCTGCTGCCAGGAGACCCTGGAGAAGGTGGACATGTGCTTCTGCAGGTCTGCCCACCCACAGAGCACAGCAAGTGAAGTGCAAGGGGCAGGGGGACACTGCACCACTGATGCTTTCTCCTTGCCAGGAGTTGGGAAGAAATGTCCTCCCAACACAGTGACACTGACCAGCAGCTACTGGGACATCCAGGGGAGGCTCTGGGCTGATACCAGAGCCCAGGCCAGCCCCATTCAGAGTGGGAGAAGAGAGTGATCCCAGGTGTGGTTCTGATAGGGAGAGGGTAAGGAAGGTAGTGTGACAGTGGGATTACGTTGTGAACTCAGGGACCCATGCAAAGTGCAATCCTAATGCTGTAGCCTGTGCTGAGGGCTGGACGTGATGTGCCCTCTGTGCTGCTGTTTATCCATCTGGAAAGTGGGGTTGTTCTCAGGATTTGTGGACTCTTCCAGAAACCCCGTGGTCCTTGTCAGTGGTTAGCAGAAGGCTCAGGGTGATATTCTAATTAGTGACAGCCCCATCTCCTTCCTGGTCTCATTTCTAAAGGATGACAAATAAACACAAATACCCACCCGGCCAGGTCTCCAGAGCCAGACTGCAGGAGTTCAAGTGTCATCCGCTCCCCAGACTGTGGCCTATTGTCATGTCCTCACTATGACTGCCTCAGTGTCCTTGTCTGAATCCCTCTTACCTTATGAAGACCACCTGGCCTGGCAGGAGTAAATCCCACAGGAAGCACTAGCACCTGTCTAGGATCTGTCAATAAACAAATATACAGCAGGAATTTTGGTCCTGGAGTTTCTGGGACTTTGCCTTTGATGTGACCAAACAGTGGCTATAGGTAGGCAAGATATTGATCCTGAACATTAATATGGAAAATAAGTTCACATTCCTCTTTCTCTTTCCACTTCCCCTCTGAAAACCAGAGCTGAGCTTAACATGCAAATTTAACCAAAAATATTGACCTGTTTCCATGCTTAGTCAAAGGACCGGGACCTTCTAAATCCTCCCATTTGTGACTTTCTCTGCAGAGCCTGAATGCTAAGTTAAGGCTTTAAGATTTCATATGGCAGTGCCGTGGTAGATTTTTCTCTCTGACCCTTCGAATTTACAATCCTTTCTAAATTAAAAAAAAAAAGAATATGAAGGGTCTGTCAGGCATTCTTTGCAAAACACTTCCAGTTTATTATTTCTAAAGGATTACAAATAAACACAAATACCAGGGGATTTAGAAGAAAAGGTCTCCACCCACTGCCAGCTAAAGTGGTGAGTGGGGGAGGGGCCCATGCAGCCACCACAGGCGATGGCCACATTCTTCCAGAATTTGAAAGGCAAAACACACAGCCCTTAAGGATCCCTTGTTGTCCCTTCTGGCTGAATGAATTAATCCAGCTGGCAGGGTCACACGTGTCATATCTGGTAAAGAGTCTTGTTTCAATACCTAGATGGTTTTTTGCTCAAAGAGAAATCCCAGGGAAGCCCCACTCACTGCTCTGACTTGGTCTTGGGGAGGTTTAGGGAACTGGTCTTCCCGCGTCTGACGCTGCCTCCTCGTCACTGCTGCTTCTCCGTGGCTGGTGGAGGGCAGCGGTCACTGCTGGGCTCTCTGACTGTCTTTGTTTTCTCCCTTGGCTTTGCAGGAACAGCATTGCGGCCTCAGCTGTGTGCGTCTTCAACCTCAGCGCCATCTCCCAGGCCTTCAACGGGCCCTTCAAGTACCAGGAGAACTCCCGCTCGGCCTGGCTGCCATATCCCAACCCCAACCCCAACTTCCAGGTAATTCCAGGGGCAGAGGGCCACTCTGGGCATGTCCCGTGAAGAATACAGAAACCTTGTGCAGACAAGCTGGGGCAACATCATCCTTGGTGCACACACAGGGCGGCTGCAATCTCCCTGTCCGTTCAAGGGCAGTCCCATGCTCGGCTTTGCTAATGCCAATGAGCCTTTGTGGCGCCTGGGCCACAAAAAGAGCCTTTTGTCAGCTGAGAGGCCTGATGCTAACTGAAAAAGGCCAGCATCCTGTAGGGTGTTAGGAGCCTGGGCTCCAATTAGTGCTAACGATGATGGACTCTGTGTCCCTGAATCTCTGATCCCCGATGAATGGCGTCTGATGAATAGGGTTCAGGGCACAGAGTGATGGAGACACACAAACAGAGCTCTAATTGGCAAATATGGCGAGATTTCCTGTTGGGGAAGGCAGAACTAGCTTGTGGCAGCTGGGAGGAGAGAAGCAGAGCTGAAGGTCATTCATCTTTCAGTCACAACATTACAGGATGTCCAGCTGCAAGGGCTTTGTCAGTCCGGCCGTCTCCCAGTGTTCAGAAGAAGCTGAGACCCAAAGAGATGAGGTGATTTATGAGGTTTGCTCAGTCAGCAGGTCTGTTAGTTTGCTTGGGCTGCTGTAATAAAATACCACAGATCGGGGGCTTGAGAAAGAGCCTTTAATTTTCTCTTAGTTCTGGAGGCTAGCAGTCCAAGATTCAGTGGAGACAGGGTAACTATCTGGTGAGGGCTGGTTTCCCTTTCTTGAAAGTGTCCATCTTCTCCTTGGTCCCCCTATGAAGGGAGAGACATATTTGGTTTCTCTTCCTTTTTTATAAGGCCACCCGTTCTATCAGGTTAGAGGTCCTCCCTCATGACCTCATTGAACGTTAATCACTTCCTTTGAGGTCCTGCCCCACAGATAGCAAAGCCTAGAGGTTTAGTTCCTACTTGCAGGATCCCTTGAAGACCTCTTTACTGCCAATGGCTCTCCTGTGATCATTATCACTGTCACTGTGGGTCTGAGTTGTAGCACCACCAAGTTCTGCCCGCTGTGCTGGCTCCTCCAGGGACCTCAGGCTGCATACTGGCAGCTGTGCCCTGCTGGGTGATACTTCTCCACACAAAGGGCAGGAGGTGAAGCCCCGGGCTAGATGACCTACCACGACCACTGCTGATTTGGAATCCCAACCATTCTCAGTTGCAAAGTCTCACCTATTCCAATTAAATGACTGTAACATCACTAATAAAACATGAACCTTTTGGCTCCTTAGAAAACTAGGATGATGAAAAGGTTCAGTCATTTTAGACTTTACTAGTATTTTGCAAGAATCACTTGATTATAATTATTTTGAGTTTTTGTGTCTGTGTTGTGTTTTAAACTTTTGAAAGAATATGGAATTGGAAATAAGATGACTAATTTACATGTCATCTTTACCTTTTACTGCTTTCCTTGGACAAATTATTTAGCATCTTCTTTTTTATATTTTCACCAAGAAAATTGGAAAGGAGGGATACAAATGCATAGGAATATTTTAGGAATAAACTTCAGTAATATCAATTAATGTATGTTATTTACTGTAAAATATATTTGTAAAGGTGACTCTTAGAGACAATCTATTTGCTGCCTTCTGGCCTCATATGTTGGGTAAATATATACTTCATTATTCCTTTTCTACAGAAGAGAAAATACACCATTCTTTTATAAAATCCTGAAGGTTGAAAATTAGCAAAGATAATAATTTTTGTAACCTTGTACCACCTCCAGGCAATGGATAACTTTCAGCCTTTCATTTGGATATATTTGTAGCACACCACAGGTGCCCTCATTTCCTCAGGCCACCCGTGCCTGGTTTTATAGTGCTAGTGTCACGGGTGGCAGGCTTGCTCTCATTCACAGGAAGGGAGTTGGCCCTGCAGTGAATGGAGCATGCAGAGAGGTGTAGGCATTTCAGGAAGGAAACCTGCTTAGCTGAGCTTGTCTTCTTTGGGTAGAACTTAAAACTCCCAGGGAGGGTCTAGGGCTGTAGCTCAGTGGTTGAGAACTCACCTAGCCTTGGACATGGGTTCAATTCCCAGCATGGCAAAAAAATAAAGAATAAAAACTAAGTAAATGAAACTTGCAGGGAACAGAAGTTACAGATTATGATGACTCTCTGTGTAACCCCTAGCACCAGTAAGTGCTTTGTTCTTGTTACTGTATCTGAGAGCTACCCTGGCCTAGGCACACTGACACCCTCCACAAAGCCCTCTGGACTTCCACAGAGGGGGGAATTAGTTTTACACTAAGGCTCACTCCATCAGCTATGTATAAAAGTCCTAATGTTTGCAGTAACCAACAGGGTGAAGTAGGTAGATTTTTTATACTTGTTTTTCTGCTGACATTTGGAATTTTATATAGCACTTACATAACAGAAATAGCCAATTAGCATAGCAGGTTGAGGAAGAGAAATGGTTTGGGAGGGCCAGTATATAATATTTCAAAATTTAGTATAGAAATCTCAATTGGAAACATTAAGAAGACAACAAAAGCTATTGATTATCTTTCTCAGTTGCAATCTAGAGGCTACCCTTGGTGTTCTTTAACTGTCTGCCTCATTGGAGGATACAGTCCCAAGGTCATCCAAATTCAAAGTCTCCATGTGAAAATAATCAGCCACTAAAACAACACTGTGCAGACCCAGTGGTATAGTAAAAGAAGGGTAGAAGGGTCCAGAATCTTCCACACAGTTTTGATCACCACCAATTGGAAATGATACAACTAACATGGATAGATCAGCCCTTGAAAGCAGAAAGATGAGGAGACTTCTTAAGAGAACAAAAGTAAAATTCAGTTGTATCCTTTGGGACCACTTAAGGTACCACGCAGGCTGGCAGTGGGATGGATGAAGGTACAGTGGAAATTCAGTAGTCAGGATGAGGCTGGTGACTGTGGGGTTGACCACCAAGTGCTGGGGAGCTAGGACTGGGATTCATGAGTTGTCCTTGAAAAATAAAAATACACAGAAGTGCAAATATTTGTTATTGTTTTAAAAATTGGCAGGGTTACTTGCTTGAAGAGGTAGGTGTTGGCATGGTGGGCTGTTGTGGATTTCAACCACATGAGAGCAAAAGCTGTGTTTTTTCTATTCTTATTGTTTTATTCTTGCATGGTATACTCCGGGCATCACACAAGGTCCAACAGACACTGGGGAGACCACCGTATAAGGCACAGCTAGAGAATTTATAGCCCTTAGAAAGCTCAGTAGTTTGTTTGTGATCCAATAAATATATACGTTTGAGTAGTTTTCAAAATATTGGAAACAGAATCCTTGGGTGGGATATTTATTATAGGCTGGTAGAATAAGCCAAGAAGTAGTTGAGAATGTTTCAGAAGCCATTCTTGACAGAGCGGGCAGATGACTTAATTGAGATATGGGTCTCAAGAATAAAGAAGAGTTCCAGCAACCCTGCCAGGCAGCCCCAGGCCTCATTACTCTCGTGAGTCTCCACCTCTCCAGGGTCCTCTAGAGCAGTTTTTAGTTTATGCCTTCTGGTTTTTAGGATGCCAGTTTTTGAAAACACCATAAACACTAAGCAGTCACTATGTGCAGACCTCACAGGGCTGCAGTAGCTACCTGTGCCTGAAGTTTTGCCATCAGTTTGAGAAAGAGGTGTCCTGAGAGCTAGAGCCCACGTGCATGGGCCTCTGACCAAGCCCCTGGAAACTCTCCATAGTTTTAGAAAACCCTGGCTAATAGCGATGTCCCTGTGTTTCATGTGTTGTTATTAAATCCTATCATAATGTAGAATCTCCAGCACAGCCTCGCTCCATCCCCCAGAAACAGCTACTTGTGTATCCATGTGCTGATTCCTTGTCCCTTCCTTTATTCACTTCCCTCAAGCCATGACATCTCCATGGGCCACGGGACTGCTGTCCCACTTGAGGACACTTAGCATTGGTGGAGTTGAGTGACCTCTCCAGGCCAGGCACATCATCCTGCTCTTTGGCATTTCCAAGGATTTTCATGGACAAGTGTTTCTGCTGGTTATCTCAGTTGTTCTCACATCAGCCTTAGGAAGTGAGCAGAGTCCCTACTTTCCTGGTCACTTTACAGATAAAGCGTTAGAGGATGAGGAGAAGGGTCCACCCCGAGGCCACATGTAGGGAGAATGACAGCCCACTTGAAACACTGCGGTCATCCTTTGGAGCCTGGGCCCTCTCCTTGACTCCCACAGTCTCTTCCTGTGATACCCAGGTGCCCTGCAACCGTGTGGTATTAAATTAAGCATGGGAGTAGATGCACAAAATCCATTTACCTCTGAGATTCTCTGTGCAATTGGCCTATCATTTTATTGCACGTGAGACATTTTATCAAATGCTACAAAAATACCATCTACTTTAAAAAAGCAATTCCATCTTGTTCTCTTGCACCTCTGACCTGTTATAAAGCCAGGCATTAGAAATGGTGTATTATAAATGGTAGTTTCAGGCAGCATGGACCCCCAAATTCATTTCCATCAAACCTACTTATGTGAAGTTCTGCTGAGGATCATTCACTATTTGTTCCAGAATTTAAAGGTCGGTGGTGATTTTCTGATTCCGTGCTCTGCTATGGGAATGCTATGCTTCCTTTCCTTCCCCTCTTTGTACCCTGTCCCTGCCTGAAACTGTCACACGTAGCACATGCAGCCTCCCCCCAGCACAGCTCTGAACTGAATTCTCCCAGATTCGGTTTCATAGTATTTCTCCTCTCTGTAAACCATCCTTGCTTCCTCCTGCCTTTGTCTTTCTCCCTTCCCACTTTCTTTTCATTCCCCTTTCTCCTTTCCTCATCCCATTTATTGCAAATCCTCCTATTGCAAATCTACCATTTTATTTCTCAGATTCCTAGATTCGAACCAAAGTTTTTATTTCCTCTATCTGGGAACACAAGCACAAAACATCCAGACCAGCATAGTGTTTTCATAGCCCATGTGAATGACAGTGCACTGCTTACAGACACAAGTGGCGCAGTTGTCAAGGAACCAACGTTTGCTTATAAACCTACTGCTACAATAGAAAACTAATAAATCAACATGATGTTCCTGATTGTTGCATTTTCCACCTGGGTACCTGCTTTATCAGATAGTTATAATAGTATGTGTTAGCCAGGGAGCTTCCAAGAACTCAACAGCCGATGAGTGTCTGTGCATCTGGTGTTCATATTAAAGTTGGTGACAAATACCACTCTGTTTTGTAACTTAGGATCTCTCTGTTCATAATGGAGTTGAGAGATTCTTTAAATATGATGAGTTCCAATCTGTACTGAGATGGACTCTAGGCACAAGGACGTCAGGGGAGATGGAGAAGCACACCTCTTTGTGTGGTCAGTCCCGCACTGTGGCTGATTCAGGTTCCAAGTCAGCTGGGCTGGAGTGGCCACATCAGCTGTGTCCAGATGGCTGGTTATGTAACGTGGACTGTCTTTCCTTGCAGTGTGGCACTGTGGACCAGGGCTTGTATGTGAACCTGACGGAGAGGAACCTGCAGGATGCTCAGAAGTTCATTCTGATGCATGAAGTGGTGCAGCCAGTGACCACAGTGCCCACCTTCATGGAGGACAACAGCCGCTTCTCCCACGTGGTCGTCGATGTGGTGCAGGGCAGAGACACCCTCGTCCACATCCTCTACCTGGCCACAGGTAGGAGCTCTGTCCTCCTCTGAGCTGTTTTCTGTCATGTTCTATTTGATGTTTTAAATTAAAAATATTCAGCTGGACATGGTGGCATGGGTCTGTTGTCTCTGCTTCAAGAAGCTGAGGCAGGGGGACTACAAGTTCAAAGCCACCTGGGCAACTTAGCAAGCCCTGGTAGCTCATGGTATAGTGTCCAGGGCTGGATCCCCAGGACTTACAAAAGTGGATATTCATTTCAGCTTGACATTTGGGGTCTGTCTCCGTCACCTGCTAACCAGCTTATCTGTGCCTGAAGATAAAAACCAGCCTCATCCGTCCATGGTGCTCGCTTATCCTGGTCATGCCCCTGGGAGTCTTCATTTCACTCTCTTTTTGTCCTGTGTTAGTCATACTTTAATGGGCAAGAGAACGCCTCCCTTCTTAACTGTTGTTCCCCAACTATTCGCTAGGCGGGACCCTTCTGGGCAAGGCCGTCCTTAGTCGGACGGTTTAACTCAGCAGAACACTTTGTTAGAGAATATCGCTTGGTGAAAAGCTCCCCCGGGGTTGCTGTGGCGATTTCTGGTGGTCTCAGAAGCAGTGCTCATAGCAAACTCTTCCTGTGGAAGCCACATACAAGCATTCGAAGAATAATTTTTTTTAAAATAAGTAGCACAATATTTTACATCAAACGTAGGTGACAGTGCTTATGAAATTACAAAAAACTGCTAGTGCTGCTCAGATTTGTCAGTAACCAGAGTGCAGAGGGCATGCTTCATCCAAGTCCATTCTGCAGGACAGCTCCAGCCCAGCCCAGCCCCAGGACCAGGTCTCAGCTCTGTCTTCGTGCCCCCCAGACACAGCAACCTCGTAGTGGGCTCTGCCCCGCCTCCGCCCCACTCTTTTCCCCCTGTCCATATTAACTGGCATTTTCTCACAAAGCACGATTACCTCTCTTCCTGTTGTTATGAGGACTATGTCTTATTTTGAGAGGACATCTCACTTTCTGATTATATATTTATCAGCTGTTTTATTTTATTCATTATATCACTGGGGTTTATTGAACTTTCACTGTCTGTGGAGTTCACTGTCATGCTGAGGAGTGGAGTGTAAAGAGACAGGCTCTGTCCTGCTCTCAGCTCGCATTCTGAGGGGCAGTCAGGCGGCCACGGGGCAGTGGGTGAAGCACGTCACCAGTGAGGCGCTGAGGAGCTGCTGTGGTGGAATTAGTGAGGTGGTGGTGAGAGCCCCAGAGGCCCCCGCCTGGCTCTCAGACCCTGCCTTGGCCGGAGGTGGCATTTCCATGAGTACTGGGGAGGAGCAGGCAGCCCTGCAGCCAGGAGGAAACAGAGAACCCTGCAGATGCAGGGACTGTCAACTGTGGGCAGGGCCACTGAGGGGTCACGACAGAAGAGGACAGACGTGACCTCTGCCTGGCCCTGGGCGGTTGGATAGAGGCGCCTGCTGCCTGTAGGGGCCACTTGACGAAGGAGTGGGGAGGAAGGGGGAAGAGAAGAAGTCAGTTGAGGTTGCTACTAGGAAGAGCTCTCTGCAGAAGTGGCTTGGTGATGGGGAGAGAATGAGGAGGTCTCTAGAGGAGATGGGAGGCCAAAGAGGGGACTTTTGATTATTTTTGTATTATGGAAAGGAAAGGAATGAGTAGTGTATTGTTTGTCTTGTTCGCCAGGCTGCAGACAGGGATTGTGTATCCTTTTTCTGCCATTTTGATTTTTAATGTGACACAGGCAGGGTGCCTAACGTGGTAGATTTCTGGTATGAATGACAGGACATTTCTAAAAGTGTCCCTAGTTTTTTAGCATATATCTTCAGGTTAATGCCATGGAGAGCAGGGTCACCTCCATGGATTCTGGAGGCAGTGGAGGCCTTCATCCATGGCTGGGCTGTGGTGTGCTGGGGCTGGGGCTGGGGTCCGGCTGCAGAATACCTAAGCTGGTCAGCCTAGAGCAGCCTGGGGTCTCCACCCCAGCCTTCTGACCTGTTCCCTGTCTGTGGGTGCAAATGCTCTTGCTGATTTAAAGTTAGCTCGGGTGAATTCTGATGAAACACTTTAATTCTGATGGGTGCCATAGCGGGCCCTGGTTGCTGGTTGTAACAGAACACCGTGGTCACGGTGGCTTAGACAACAGAGTTGATTCTCCGTGTTCTGGAGGCCAGCATGATGGTGGCTGCTGGGAAGTTTCCTGGTCAGGACCTCTGGCTGGCTTGGCACGGCTGCTGCTTGTTGTGCCCTCACAGGAGAACAGGGACCTTCTCTTTGTGCGTCTTCTCATAAGGGCACCAGTGCCATCATAAGGCCTCTACCCTCATCACCCAGTTCCTCCACTCATGACTTAAAAAGGTGAAATGGAACTAATTGGTCCCATGTTAAACACAGCGTGCCATCAGTTTCACCTTGGGAATCCAGGTTGGGTGACAAGTGCCAAGTGTGTATTCTCCCACTTTGACTTTACATGAATGAATGCACCTGCTGGTAGCCATCTGGGGAGTGGGTTATCTTGTTTGTGAGCAGCATCTAAAGATCAAAGGGAGACAGAATGTTGCCACTGTAGTTCTTTGTGGCCCCCCAAGTCCTGCTGCCTTTCCTAGACATGTTCAGCTCCATGTCTCACTGATCCATGTCTCTGCCCTTGGCAACCCAGCCAGGCGAGACTGTGCTGAGAGTTCGAAAGTTATTTCTTTGAAAGTCTTCTCAGTTAAAGCAGGAGGGCAAATGCTGAGTCTAACTCCATCAGGATATTTCTGACTGGGGTTCTCTAAGTGATGAGGCTAAGTGCACACACTTTCTGAGCTCCTCTATAAGGACAGAATGAGAGCGGGATTCACCAGTCTCTCCTTAGCTGGCTACAGAACACATCTCCTGTGGCTCTTCTCCTGCCTCCAAGATGGTCCTTCGCTGCCTCACTTATCTCCTGTCCTCCTGTATGGTCTTGGCTGGTCTCTGCCCATGGCCACAGCCAAGACTATTTCATGCTTCCTTCCGGGAAGTACATTCAGACTCACATAGTTCCTACTCTCCTCCTCTGGTATCATAGAGCACTTTTATTTTCATATAGTTCATGTAACACTTTTATTTTCATTGAGCCTCAGTTCTAATGTGTCTAAATTACTTAATTTTAATTTATTTTTAATCAAGTAATCATTATTAAGTTAATGATTCAATTAACCTTCAACTGACTATAACCTTGAAATGTCCTATCCTTAGATTGTGACAATGATTGCACAACTCAGAATGCGCTGCAGATCAATGGGTGGATTTTTTCGTATGCATATTACACGTCAATAAAGATAGTTTTAAAGGAATGTGATCTGTCCTTGTGACTTACTGAATCATTTATTATAAAATATTTGTCTTAATTAGAGGATTGCTCATAAATTTTACATTAAAATGCTGAGCACATGCGCATATGCCTGTAAACCATACAATTGGGAGACCAAGTCAAGAGGGTCACAATTCAGGAATAATGGGCAACTTAATAACACCCATCTCAAAAAATAAAAAGGGCTGGGGGCATAGCTCAGTGGAAGAGCTCTGGCATGCATAAGGCCCTGGGTTCCATCTCTAGTGCAGGAAAAAGAAAGAAGGAAATGAGGAAGGAAGGAGGGAAGAAATATAAGAAGGGAAGAAGGCAGGGGCGTGCGCACACACACACACACACACACGCACACACTTTTCAATGTTTTTTTTTTCTGAACTTGTGAAATTCACATCGAAAATTAGCAAGTAATAGATGGTGCAAAAGGGAACGGTCCACATAGGCACAGTGCCTTTACCTGATTGATCTGAACTGGATCCTGCAATGAGTTTATCACCTGTGTGTCCTTCTTGTCCCCCACCCCAAGGTGGATTGCACCCTGCAGTGAAGTATTTATAAAAATTTCAGAAAAAAACAGTATAACGAAGACAGCATGAGCAGTCTCTTTCAGGCTACAGAAAAGTAAATCAAACAGAATAGTTGAAAGTAGGAACAAAAGTACATTTGCTACAAATTTACTTTGCCTTAATAAAAGGAGAGAATATTAATAAAATAAGTAACATTGAAATGATGAATGATGCAAATGAGATGAAAAGAGGTTCTCACAGAGACAAAGTAAAGAGCAAAATGAGTCTATTCTATTGCCTAGGTAATGATGACATTTGAAGCTTTATGTGAACAGAAGCAAAGCTAAAGGTTAATTAGTAACAGTAAATGTTTGCAATGGTTGCTGTTGCAGGGACAAATGCAAAGATAAGATAGAGTCTAGATACAAAGCACTCAGGAAGACAAGGCAACAATATAGCCACTGGTGTCTTTGAACCAGAGAACTCCATGGTAAGTTGTCCCTGAAAACATCAGTAAGAAAAATTCCTGAAAAAAAAAATGGAAGACATGAATCTGAAGATATCAATACACTCCACATTTGAGCAATATTGATTAAGAATAAAAAAACACTACCTGGGCATAGTGGCACATGCCTGTAATCCTAGCAGCCCAGGAGGCTGAGGCAGGAGGATCACAAGTTCAAGGCCAGACCCAGACAACTTAGCAAGGCCCTAAACAACTTAGTGAGACTTTGTCTTAAAATAAATAATGATAATAATAAAAAAGATTGGGGATATGGTGCAGTGGTTAAGTGTCTGTGATTTTAATCCCTGGTACCTAAATAATAAATAAATAAATAAATAAATAAATAGATAGATAGATAGATAGATAGATAGATAAATAGATAAATAAATAAATACTAGGCATAGCCAGGTTAAATTTTTAAATTCCAAAGGTAAATAAAGAAAGAACTACAGGGAAAAATGACAACAAATGGATAAAAGTCTGGTGTTCTCAGAATACTCTGCAGCTGCCTGAGTCTGTGAATAAGGCCCCCCAAAATCTGAGAAAAATAAAATGTGATTCAAAGTCATTAAGCTCACCCAGGAATTTAAAAAAAGACAGACATTACGCAACAAGAAAATCTCAATCAATAGGCTTCTAAAGATCTCTTTTCTAAACATGAAATAGTACTAATTACTGGCT